TCTTAATAACTGACCAACAGAGAACATTCCATTATCATCGCGAATAGCTGCAGTTACAATAACACAATAAACAGGGTAAATGAAGTGAGAACTTTAATAGCATATCTAGTGATTAGATATAATAGGAACTCAAAAACATACAGTTGTCTTTAGTATCCCTCTCTTGCCAAGAATTTTTAGGAGACAAAGGGGATTTTGGCGATGATGGGAAATCCTCAAATCCTGAAGGACCACCTGGCTCACTACCCTGATTCAAATTAAGAAATGCAACTTTATGTTAGATTTGGACAAAACTGTCACATAAAATAATATAAGGTCAGTTAAAAAAGTAAAAAACTCATGCTCCTCTGGTTCTAAACACACAAACCTTCTCCTTGGATGCATCACCAGAAATATTTATTTTCTCACATAACTGTGCTTTAACACAGATATAGCCATTATTCTCTTGTTCACCTTCATCACACAAAAATAGTATGCCTTTGTATATTTTTTTAACAGTTCCTTGTTTATCCTGCGATGTCAACATACATACGTGCTCATTAGCTTCCAAAAAACGAAGTGAAATAATTACTTGAAGCTTCTAATTTAAAATTACTAGCAGACCTTCAATGGACCATCCAAAACCCTGACTATGTCATTAATTGATATGGTTTTTGCATGCTGATCCAAAACGGTGAACAATTTTTTGTCAAAAGACGCACTCTTTAGCTCACGCTGTTTGACGGTAACAACTGATGGTCCTTCTGAGCCTTCTTTAATGACCTATTACCAAAAAATGATCAATTGAAGGAGATGAATTGACATAACACAAGGATGAAGATAATCAAGTATGAAGTGTTTATACCTTTACACTGTTATCCTTCTCCGTGCCAATGACAACACCAAAATCCTTCCGGCTGCAAGCAAAGCATGTCAGATTTTAGTAGTTGTCTTCATCACAAAATATTATGACAAATAGAGGCTTACCCAAAAAAGACTAGATCATGCATTTCAAAATTATTTTCCATTGTAGAGCTACACGAGCCACCTTCTTTGCCACCTTCTTTACCACCCCCTTTGTCCTTCTTTATGGCCTGAACATGCTTCTTCTTTTGTTCGCCAAAAAGTTGGGAAAGCCACTGTCCATCATTAGATTCATCCTTTTTTGAAGGCTCAAACTTCAGGAGTTCATCATCAGTGGGCATTACACCCCACAAACTCAGTGAGTCAATAGACACTTTTTTGTATAAATAGCCATCCTTCAGCAACATCCCGTCAAGAATCTCAAACATCTGGTTAGTGTCACGATCCCTTCGGTATTGAATGAGAGGACGGAACTCCCTACAAGCGTAACATGAATACATATAATGAGCACCGAAACCATGAAACGAAAAATAACGAATGGGGGCATGCAAGTTACTCAAGCTCGCTAGAGCTGATCAGTCGTGGTGCTGGGATGGCTGTCCTTTTAGCAGGAACTCCGCCGCCCTGTAAATAAATATAAAACATGAGTCAATAGAAATTTTATTAGACATCAGAAGCAACATCAAGACTAGTAACAAAGGTAGCTGTTGTTAGAGGAAATCCTTCACATATTTTGTTTAAAAAGCAGACATAAATATCTCGATAACATATTTGAATTGCATGATAAATGATTTCGATCATGGAAATATGAGTAGGAACTAATGAATGAATAAAGGGGTAAGAGCATTTAAACTGAGCATCGCCATGAACTACAGCTGAACCAAAAGCACCATCAATTCCAAGGAAACTATTCTAAGAAGAAATGGGGGAAAAACCATGATTAGAATGCCAAACAGAAAGTCAGAAACTGCATGTAAAAAAAAGTTCTAGAAGTAAACATACTGAAAACTATAATCACATTTCATTTTATTTATATACTTTGCTTTGATGTTAAGGTTTACCTTAGATTTACAGAGTTTCCTGCTAAAAATATATATAACCCGCATATGTTTTCATGAGAGATTTAATAAATATATATGCACATTAAAAGCACGTTCGGTACAAATCATCTTACAAATTTTTCAGCCATCGCTCGCAAGTCTATTCTTGGAATCAGTTTTACAGTAACTTTCTTCCTTGTATCATTCACAGCTACAACCTAGAAGGACAGGCATAATCGAAACAATTAACAAAAATAAGCTAATAGGATCTTTGCCAAAAGAAAAAATCAAAGCAATTGATTAGCAAAGTGAAAATATACAAAATATAAATATGGATTATGATTAATATTTTGATACACAAGTAGTAAGATCATACCTGTGCAAGATCACCCTTATATTTTCCATTCTTTACGCGAGCCCACATGCCCTCGGATATTGCATTGGACTTGCTCCTGATGGAGAGCAAATGATGGATTTCATTGGGAGGTACTCTGGCCACTCGGCTTGGATAAATAGTGCAAAGTCCTTTACATGCCTGTATTCATAAGGTATAAGGTTAACATATCCTTTATTAGCAGAAGGAACCACCAGAAAACCAAGAAACGCAATAAAATAATTACACCTAAATAAAATAATGATTGTACAAACGAGCAAGATGAATACCTCATTAATATCGTACTGCTTGTCGGCT